TAGGCATTTCCTCGAGAAAATACGGTATGATCTTTTTTTGCGCTAGGCAATACCAAGGCAGTATTGTCAGTACTACTGTCAATATCAACTTTTCTATTTTGGGGGCAAGGCCTATTTAAAGCATTTTCATCATATACTTTACTAAATCAGTGTTATGTTTATTGCAACTAACAGTACTGTTACTAGTACTCTGTATATGACTTGGAGACATGTTGGCATTCTTACTACGAGGTTCACCATCATCAATTATACCAGTCACTTGAATCTTTCTCGTCTTTCCTTTACTTTTCTTGATTCGAGGTAAGTCATTCCGAAATTTATCTGAGGCGGTTAATTTCGTTAATGCACAGATTACTAACTTTAACAGAGAGAAGATCAAATGATAATAAATGTAATCCATTTAATGTACGTACAAGAGGTAATGCAACATATGCCATATCATCCCCAAAAACATTAGTTGATAAGTCAATAATGGCTGTATTTAGTGAGAGGCCCTGACATTTATGTATAGCAATAGCATAAGAAATTATAAGGCAAAACTGTTTTCTATGTATATACAAATTCTTAGATAGCATAATTCTAGATGTAACCCTTTCTATGTCACAAGGTGCATCAATATGATCATTCATGTAGCATAAATACAAATACGTGTAGCATAAATACACATACGTGTAGCATAAATACACATACGTGTAGCATTAATACCCATTACTGTACCAATGGCACCATTAACTAATCCTATAGTCACGTCAGTATTACGTCTTAGCATTACTCTACAGCCTACTGGTAAAGAAAATACAGTTTCTAAACCAGCTATTTTGCTTGGTTGATCTTTTAGTTTCTTTAATTTTTTTCTTATTTTTGTCAAACTTTGCTGTGGTGCCACTTTCATCAACAACATCAACACATGCTTATTCTATTTTCTCAGTTTCTAGACTTTCTAACATTAATTCATTGATTTTTTGGCAGGCATCTACCTTAGAAAATAGGCAAATTAGACGATTTGTTTATTCACTTTCCAATTCTCTGTTTTTTTGTATTAAAACCTTAAATACGCGACTCTTAAGCATATCAATTGTTTCATGAGTCAGACAGCCATGCCTAACAAATATAAGCATCTTAAAAAAACTTTTGTCTCCTTTTTGTCGCTCATTGATTATAAGTTCATTATATTGTTTCTTTCCATATGTTAACTGCATTTGCTGCTACAAGTCCAGTTTTACTAGTTTTTAGCTAATTTTTTAAATATAGGCCTACCATTTACTGGTGGCAATTGCAAAAAGTCACCTACAAATAAAATATTTTTGAATCCAAACCATTCATTAGTTCCAAATATATCTTCTAAGCACATGTGTAATTATGCTAGATTTAGATTGGATACCTTAGATACCTCATCTACTATTATAATTTTAAATTTTTAAGTGTCATTTCTATCCTTTTCTGAGCTTCTTTATTCAAAGCCCAATATCCAGCTGTCTTTCCCCCATGCTCTATTGGTAACTGAAGTAATCTATGTATTGTCAATCTGCCTACATTAAATGCGGCTATACCTGTTGGTGCTACCATAGCACACATAATTTCACCACTTTTTGGATGCCATATGTCATCAACTAGGCATTTTATTGCCTCTATTAAAAATTTACCAGTTCCACCTACACCACTAATAAACATCCTTAGCGGTTTGATATTATCTAATCTAAGTAGTCTTGAAGACTCATTCTCTAATAAGTCTTCACGTTCTTTCTGATTTATAAGATGACTCTTAATTTTATCAAAAATTCTTTTTTGACCGACGTTAAGCTTTGCCTCTTTATACTCTAATGCTAAATTAGGTACATTTATATGCATGTCAGCAATGTTAGCTACTGCTTCCATTGTTTCACCCACTAATTCAGGCTTATCATCTTCCTTGTTATCAAGAAGTTCGTTAGTGAAACAGGCTTTACTTCTTGCATCGACTATTTTTTCTGATAATGTTCAGCTTCTAATAATTTCTGCAGTTCATTGAATTCATTCTCAACGCCACGTATAGATGCTTCTGTGTGACGCTTAAAAGCTTCGTCTATTGTTTCTCCTTCCATTATGAGTGTGCTCTAATCTCCAAAAGGCACAAATAAAAATATTAGCGAGTTATAAAAAGCGTCTCTTTCCGCTTCTTGCATAGGATTAAATTTCCTATGGTTTGGAAGGACTGGCTTTGATCGAAGTTTGTATTCTCTTTCTCCATTTTCTCCTATTCTGTCAAAAGTAACAAATTCGTAAAGAGATACATCTTCCATGTTATTTGGTCTTGTTGGATAAAAGTCTTCAATTGTGCTTGGATTAAAAATGTCTTTAGAAGATCAATCCACTTTAGTTAAATATGAATAATTTTTTATTTTTCTGCTCCTCTTATGAGTCAAGTACACATTAACGTACTGACAGTTACTGATTTCATGTATAAACTTTCACCGAGAAGATCGCTAGCTTCATAAGTACTACTTCTTTAGCTCAAAGTAATTTTTGTACACTTTTCCAAAGCCTGCTGTATATGTTGTCACAGCTGCTGAATTTATCCCATAAGTTCTGTGCATGACTCTTTTCTGCTTTAGTGACGTATCCAGTTACATACTCTGTTAAGGAAAGACTCCTCTCTGTCATGTATTGCAAGTCCATATTTGCACGCCACAATTTCAACAGAAAGGATTGTAGTCATTGACTCGAACTTCTTTTTCATTTCGTTTGAGATATATTTTCTTCCATGATTTTAAGCTCTTTTCAACATCATTGATGCAAATACTATCATGTACTGATCTAGGAAAATCAAATCAGCATCTAGATACATAGGTCTTGCCGACTTTAATATTTCACTTGCAGTATTTGTTGCACTTGTGCAATTGGTATTTTGTTACCAAAAAAATTTAAATTAGGTGACATATTAGTATCTGTTATATGACAGGTAATTCTAGCTTGTATGAAAGAACAGACTTTATCTGGACAATCGATACCAACAACAGGAGCATTTTCAATCCATATGAGAATGTGATGAGGTGCTCCACGCATTTGATATTCTTTTTAATATGATACTGCTCTACTTTGCCTAGAACACCTCTCTGGAGAATGACTACGTTAAAAAAATCTTAAAATTTGTATGAAAATTGTCGGATACTGAACCAGGGTCCTTAGTACATAATCGAGAACTACTATATTATGATTGTAGAGCATTATTTACCTTCTTAACCCTTTAACACCGATAGACGTACTTGTACGTCAATAACATGAGGGGGTGTAGTATAATTGTTATTTTCTTTTATATTTATGGAAATATAACATTCTAGATAGCTTTAAAAGGTTCTTCTTTCATCTCTCTAACATATATAACATTGTGAAAGACTAAAAACAGAGTATATAGGTAGAAAAGTCCAGTAGCGCGACCCAAACTGTTCAAAATGATCAGCGGCCGAGGTAAGTCACCTAAAAATGACACAACAACAAAAGACAGAATGTTTAGACTTACCTTTGGCTTGTGAAATCCTCTAGAAGTGAGTAGAAAAGGCGAGCGACTCGAGAGAGCTGCTTTGCCTAACATTTCAATGGAGAAAAGCAGTAGGTGTGGCCACATTTTGCTTAGCAACGGCTTAGCAACCATGGCTTCTCGACCAGTCACAGTAGTGTTTCTACTCGTAGCATCTTCTCCACTGACTTCTGCCTCTTCATTCTTTCATATCCTGCCTACTAGGTCCTGCTTAACATGATACAACTCTCTCTTTCCCATCGCCAAGTCCGTGTATTTGAGAAAAGCGGTGAGTATCTTTACAATAGACGCTGCATTGCTTTATGCCGCTTCATTTACTATTATACTTCTTCTATCTAAGGATGAACATCCCATAAACGCTGCTAGCAAGTTTCAAGTCTCGCAGGACAAGATCTTGAGAGATATGCATTGCTCAACTAGTACCACCAAAAAATTATTTTTATTCCAAAATTAATTTCGGTGTTAAAGGGTTAAATATTGCACTATATCAGCTGAATTGTATTTAGCACAACTTAATGTTAGGAAGTGTTGGTGAGCCATACTCAGCAATCATTACTTTGACTTCACCCTTCACACAGAACCAATTTTGATTTGAGCCCCGTATTGGAGCCAACTTGGTATATAAAATTCTTCATCTAACACATTTTTTCTAATACTTCAGCAACAGTTGACCAATGTTGCCCCTTGATGTTTTTAATAAATTATATATTGCAGTGTTTAAGGCATTGTTAATTTTTAATCTGTAAAAGTGCAGAAAATATGAATGATTTATATGAAATCGGGAATTTTTGTTTAAAAGTCTTGATTTTGTGTTCACTAAATGATAAAGTCTGTGCTGAATAGCTTTTTCTGGGATGATGCTCTCCATATTGTCCAGTTGGAAATAAAGTAGGAAAGCATAACAAATCAAATGCTCTTGCCTATTGTCTATAGGCACTTCTGCAGCGCTTCTTTTACATTCATTAATTTTTACTAACTGATATCAGAACCTGTTGCAATTTTACTATCAAGATTTTTAATCGTATGTGCCAAAAGGCCTTCTCAATCTTGATTGTGTGCTTTTTCAAGTATTTTTGAAGTAGTATTGCTAACCACTTGTATAACATTTTTAGACGATTCATCAATTGAATCATCATCTATGTTGCCAATTTATTTCTTTTAATTTTCATAGTGCTGCTTTTATTTTATTTACATCAACTAAACTACGCCAGACATTATTTGATTTAGTATGCTGTCCATTAATGATATTATAATTTTCTGGATTAGGCAAGTGATTTGAATCTATACCAACCTCATTTGAAGTTTTCATTGTTTTTTTCTAATGAAAGGGGTAAATAAAACATTTCACCTTTAAGTGCCTTCAAAGAATTATAGGCAGGCACTTTTAAGGTGTATGTGCCTAGTCTAACAATTGTCTGAAAACACTTGGGCCTCTGTATGAACTGGTAACTTAAAGGATCCAAATTTTCCA